CATATACATATAACAATAGGTGTGTAGTATCTGTGAGTCATGGCATTCTCACGCCGTTAGAGATTTCACTCACTCACACATATGGCAGCTCTGTGTTCGAAACCGCGTCATCCGTAGGAGAGAGATGTAACTTCGTTCACAGGTTTACCAGAGGAAGGAGGGACAGAGATAAAGGTATCAAAGAGCTGAAAGGAAAGAAGAAAGGGGATGAAGGTTGGAAACAAATGATTTCCCGTTGAATTAGTGATAAAAAGAGAAGGCCTAAATGTGTACAGTATGATAGAAAACGGAATAAATCTGTGTGGATTATAAATGGTGTGTCGGTTTCATATGTAGGTGTCAGTATAGGAGATGCTGAGTGACAGCGTGTGTTGGAAAGATTCTCAGGAATAATTTTAATTTCGGAGTGTCGTCACCATTAGTGGATATGTGAGCCAGGTGTCTGAGATGGTATAGTGACCAAGCTATGGGCTGGAATACCAGAGAATTTGGGATTGATTTCCTGTGGAGTGTTCAGGCCCGCTCTGGGGCCCATCCAGTCCAATTGATACCAGGTGCTCTTTCCTCGGAGGTAATATGGAAGGTTCATGCAGTTAATTATTGCTGAACGTTAAGACAGATTGGAGCCACCATTGTTAATGGGGCAGTGAGACTGAGTAATCTATTGATATTGTTTAGTCAATTAACGAAATGAGGAGATTCATGTTTAACATTTTTCGTCAGATATGGTTTGGAAGATTGACTTGAGGAGAATGAGATGGACGGAGTCTGTAGCACGCGTGGGACAGATGAGAAATGCAAACATAGTATTGGTCTTAGAATCCGAAGAGACCACGTGGGGCATAATACATTTGAAGATGACTATTGAAATTATTCAGAATAGACACCAGTGGCGGGCTGTTGTGAACACGGTGATGAACCTTGGGGTTCCATAGAAAGGCGTGAGTTCTTTTTTGAGTAGCTTATGAAGAAGGAATCGGCTGCGAGGTGTTCCTTTGTTAGTTCTTCGGTTTGTTAAGCACACCTTTATGAAATGAACCCGTAATGTGGAGCTTCTCTGGTCGCAGGTTTGAAGCCCCACATTTATATTTTCCGTGTGTGTGTGTGTGTGTGTGTGAGTGCGTGAGTGGCGCTGGTATTCTTTGTAAGAAGCCAGATTAATGCGAAGCGCCTTGGGATGAGGCTCATGGACACTGGAAGCGATGTGTCTGCTGCTTCCAGGAACCCCGTATTTTACTTCCGCGTGACACCTTCGGTCGACGTTAAATAAAATACACATCTAATCCCCATGGTCGTGGCCCTTTAAGGGATAAAGACGCGACAAGGACAAATTCAGCTCTAAAAAAGTTAAAATCGGCCATTACCTCCAACCGCTCTTCCTGATTTATTTAGACAAAAATCTCTTTGTGGAAAAGAAAAGACGAATTCCTGTTTCTGGCGTCACGAGCTTGTGGAAATTAGTTTCCGCACGATATTTCATTACGTAATGGGGCCGCGATGGCTCAGTCGTTATAGAAGCTAGGCTAGGGGCTGGACAGCCAAGGAGTCCGACTCCACGGAGGAACAAGAGACTTTTCTCTTCTCTACAGCGTCCAAACCGGCTCAGGCCCACCAAGTCCCCTATGTAGTGGGTACTGTGGACTCCTTTCCTGGGAGTAAAGCGGCCTCGGTGTGAAGCTGGCCACTCCATCTACTGCCAAGGTTAAGAACCTCCACTCCCCCATGCGTCTTAGTGCAGCGGCTTTTAATTAATCAAGTCCAAGCACAATTATACCTTTATTATTATTATTATTATTATTATGGCCCAAGGGTTATGTGCAAGGAGATATGTTTTTTTGGTAAATTTGGAATAAGGGTATCTAGACTTTAAGATTAAGAAATAGAAATAATGAAACGTACCAGGAAGCTTGGGTTTGCAGAGAAGTGTAACAGGCAATCGCTTTGTAATCAGAATGTTAGCACGACAGCGTATTAACGCTGACATTGAGGAAGAAGCTCTATGAAGTGGGTCATAAAAACTATGGGATGAGGAAAACGCTGAGTCGGAGAGGGCGGTAGACCTGAAAGAGCCAGCCCCCTTTCGATAAACAGCCAATGAGTGGGCCACACTGACCCA